GAATGGAATAGAATAGAATAGAATAGAATAGAATAGAATAGAATAGAATAGAAATAAATGGAATGGAAATAAATGGAATGGAAATAAATGGATAGAATAGAATAGAGTAGAGTAGAGTAGAGTAGAATAGAATAGAATAGAATAGAATAGAATAGAATAGAATAGAATAGAATAGAATAGAATAGAATAGAAATAAATGGAATGGAAATAAATGGAATAGAATAGAGTAGAGTAGAGTAGAGTAGAATAGAATAGAATAGAATAGAATAGAATAGAATAGAATAGAATAGAATAGAATAGAATAGAATAGAAAATAAATGGAATGGAAATAAATGGAACAGAATAGAGTAGAGTAGAGTAGAGTAGTAGAAGTAGAGTAGAGTAGAGTAGAGTAGAGTAGAATAGAATAGAATAGAATAGAATAGAATAGAATAGAATAGAATAGAATAGAATAGAATTATTTATTGGCCAAGTGTGATTGGACACCCAAGGAATTTGTCTTGGTGCATACGCTCTTGGAGTACATAAAAGAAAAAATACATTCGTCAAGAATCATAAGGTACAACACTTAATGATAGTCATAGGGAAACAGTCAATATTCTATTCTATTCTATTCTATTCTATTCTATTCTATTCTATTCTATCCCATCCCATCCCATCCCATCCCATCCCATCCCATCCCATCCCATCCCATCCCATCGCTTCCAACATGCCATCTCATTTTCAGCACCACGGACAGTTCCCTTTGCAAGAACTTGCTTCGAACTTGCCCTTTCTCTAAAAAAAAACCCGTCTGAATCAGACAGTGATAATTAGATTAAAAAGAGGAAATGAATTAAGACCTCTTGCGAAGAGGGCGTGAGGCTCCTCTCACGAGTAGCCACGTCTTTTGTGGAGCAATAATTCAGCAGACAATCCGGGCTTTTCGTCTTTGGCAATAAACAACTCCGGAAAAGACCTTCTGCCTCTCCGCCTGACTTCAATCTCCGAAAGAGGTTTTTGCCAAAGAAATTAGAAACATCTTTTTCTCATCCTTACTGTTTGTCTTTTAAGAAGTGGGCTACTTGCCAGTTTTCCTGGGACACTGTGTACATCTATTGCAAACTCTGAGCTTTAGAGGACTCAATCTTCTCTCCCGCTGTATTTCAACGGAGGACTGGACACAGTAATCATCATCATAATAAAAATAAAAAAAAAAACCAGACAGACAGGTAGGAATGTCTCCTGTCACTGCAAACTGAAGAGCAATATAATTTAATGAACTTTCGGCTCAAGGGCGAAGTAAAATGAGAATAGGATGAGCAACAAGGAGACTCTGCTCACTGAAAATAGAACATGAAAGACGGTTGCATCGCATCGCGTACATGTACTTAGGTTTGCAAAAGAGTCCAGAAGTTATTTAATCTGTTTTTTTTTTTAAAAAAAAAATGCATAACAGTTCCAATGTATAATATGTTCAAGAAGGAAGCACTCAACAAAACAGTTATTTAGTTTCAGAATTATTCCAAGCTCCTAGTCGCAGAACTCAAAGAGATATACTTTGAATTCCTATTTTGGAAAGGGTTAATTGACACACATAGCAAAGTGGAACAGGAAGACAAAGTCTGCGGCTTTAAATGCGATGTAACTCCCAAGGTGAAAACCTGCTCCCTTTTGCACAATTGCCTAATAGGTGGATGCTACGGTCACAATTCTCCCAAGTATTGTGCTGAAACGTTGGGGCCTTTCCTTGAAGCAGAACCTGTCATACAGCGTTCAAGACTTCCCCACTTTCGAGAAAAGACCAAAACAGAACATTTTACTGAATCTCTTTGAGAGGTGAAAGACAAGAAGGTCAATCTTTTTCTTTCTTTCTTTCTTTCTTTCTTTTCTTTTCTTTCTTTCTTTCTTTCTTTCTTTCTTTCTTTCTTTCTTTCTTTCTTCCTTTCTTCCTTCCTTTTTTCTTTCTTTTCCTCCTTCCTACTCTCTTTCTTTCTCTCTCTTTCTTTCCCTTTCTTTCCATCTTTGTTCCTTCCATCTTTCATTCCTTCCATCTTTCTTTCTCTCTCTTTCTTTCATCTTTCTCTCTCTCTTTCTCTTCCTTTCTTTCCATCTTTGTTTCCTTCCATCTTTCATTCCTTCCATCCTTTCTTTCTTTCTTTCTTTCTTTCTTTCTTTCTTTCTTTCTTTCTTCCTTCCTTCCTTCCTTCCTTCCTTTTTTCTTTCTTTCTTTCTTTCTTTCTTTCTTTCTTTCTTTCTTTCTTCCTTCCTTCCTTCCTTTCTTTCTTTCTTTCTTTCTTTCCTTCCTACTCTCTTTCTTTCCCTTTCTTTCCAACCTTGTTTCTTTCCACCTTTCATTCCTTCCATCTTTCTCTCTCTCTCTTTCTTTCATCTTTCTCTCTCTCTTTCTCTTTCCCTTTCTTTCCATCTTTGTTTCCTTCCACCTTTCATTCCTTCCATCTTTCTTTCTCTCTCTTTCTTTCATCTTTCTCTCTCTTTCTCTTTCCCTTTTTCTCCATCTTTCTTTCTTTCCATCTTTCCTTCCTTCCTTCCTTCCTTCCTTCCTTCCTTCCTTCCTTCCTTCCTTCCTTCCCTCCCTCCCTCCCTCCCTCCCTCCCTCCTCTCCACTCACTCACTTACCCTCCTTTGAATTAGGGAAAAAATAGCACCTTCTAGTCACTCCTCTCTTAGTTGCCAGAAAATGCAGCATTTTTTCCTAGGGCAAATAAGATGGACTGCAGGCCTTAGAGGCAGCCTGCTAGTGCTGATGCCTCCAGAGAAATCAACTTTTTCTCTTTTTAAACGTCTTCTTTAAAAAAAAGGAAAGAAAGAGGGGAGAGGGAGAGATGCTTTTGCAGACAAAACAGACGCCTGAAACTTTGCAGACACCCTTAAATACTCCCCCCCCCTTCTCCCCAGACTGCCAACCATGCTTTCTTTTAAAGCTGGCTTTAGGATGGTGGCAGAGGTACTCCCCACTCCACCTCCCCTTTAAAGTCAGAGTAGAAATTAAATAAAAATTAGAAACGAGAGCACATCGTCTAATGTGAGGCCCTGCTAGGAAGCTGCATCCCAGCTTCCATACCCATGACCTTTTCTTGCCTAATTCACAATTCCCTCGAGCCTAACTGGGCTCCAGACCCCTCGGGCGGTTCTGGGTGTCATGGAAAGTTGGCCCAGTGCAAAGCCAACCCAGAATCTCGGCTGCCCCCTCTTCTCCCCTTTGAGTCCGGCCAAAGGCACAGCTCCGAGAAGATCCAAGCAAGCAAGCAAGCGAAGGAAGGGAGGGAGGAGGAAAGAAGGAAAGAAGGAAAGAAGGGAGGAAGGAAAGAGGGAGGGAGACAGTGAAATAGGAAGGAAGGAAGGACAGAAGGAAGGAATGAAATAGGAAGGAGGGAGGGAGGAAAGAAGGAAGGGAGGAAGGAAAAGAAAGGATATAGAATGAAAGAGGGAGGGAGACAAGTGAAATACGAGGGAAGGAAGGGAGGAAAGAAGGAAGGAAGGAAGGAAAGAGAAGGAAGGAAGGATGGATGGAAAGAGGGAGGGAGACAAAGTGAAATAGAGGGAGGGAAAGAAGGAAGGGAGGAAGGAAGGAAGGAGAAGGAAGGAAGGATGGATGGAAAGAGGGAGGGAGACAATGAAATAAGAGGGAGGGAGGAAAGAAGGAAGGAGGAAGGAAGGAAGAAGAGGAAGGATGGAAGAAAAGAGGGAGGAGACAAGATGAAATAGAGAAGGAGGGAGGGAGAGAAAGGAAGAAGGAGGAAGGAAGGAAGAAGAAGGAAGGAAAGAAGGAAGGAAGGAAAGAAGAGGGAGAAGGAGGAAGGGAAATAAGAAGGAGAGGAGGGAAGGAAGAGAGGGAGGAGAAGGGAGGAAGGAAGGAAGAAGAAGAAGGAAAGGAAGGAAGGAAGAAGGAAGGAAGGAGAAGGAAGAAGGAAGGGAAGGAGAAGAAGAAGGAAGGAAGGAAGGAAAGGAAGGAAGGGAGAGGAAAGCAAAGGAGGAAAGGAAGGAAGGAAGGCAAAGGAAGAAGGAAGGAAGGAAGGAAGGAATGAAGGAAGGGAAGGAAAGGAAGGAAGGAAGGAGAATAGGGAAGGAAGGGAAGGAAGAAGGAAGGAAGGAGAAGGAAGGAAGAAGGAAGGAAAGGAAGGAAGGAAGGAAGGAATGCAAAGGAAGGAAGGAAGGAAATGCAAAGGAAGGAAGGAAGGAAGGAATGCAAAGGAAGGAGGAAGGAAGGAAGGAAGGAAGGAAGGAAGGAAGGAATGCAAAGGAAGGAAGGAAGGAAGGAATGCAAAGGAAGGAAGGGAGGAAGGAAGGAAGGAAGGAGGAAGGAAGGGAAGGAAGGCAAAGGAAGGAAGGAATGGAAGGAAGGAGAGGACGGAAGGAGGAAAGGAAGGAAGGAAGGAAAGGAAGGAAGGAATGAAGGAAGGAATGCAAAGGAAGGAAGGGAAGGAGGAAGGAAAGGAAGGAAGGAATGAAAGGAAGGAAGGAAGGAGAAGAAGGAAGGAAGGAAGGAAGGAAGGAAGGAAGGAAGGAAGGCAAAGGAAGGAAGGAAGGAAGGAAGCAAGAAGGAAGGAAGGAGGGAAGGAAGGAGGAAGGAGGGAGGAAGGAAGGAAGGAAGGAAGGAATGCAAAGGAAGGAAGGAAAGAAAGAAGGAAGAGAGGAAGGAAGGAGAAGGAAGGAAGGATGGAACAGAAAGAGGGAGGGAGACAAGTGAAATAGGAAAGAAGGAAGGAAGGAAGGAATGCAAAGGAAGGAAGGAGGGAAGGAAGGAATGCAAAGGAGGGAAGGAAGGAAGGCAAAGGAAGGAAGGAATGCAAAGGAAGGAAGGAAGGAAGGAAGGAAGGAGGGAAGGAAGGAAAGAAAGAAGGAAAGAGAGGAAGGAAGGAGAAGGAAGGAAGGATGGAACAGAAAGAGGGAGGGAGACAAGTGAAATAGGAAAGAAGGAGGGAAGGAAGGAATGCAAAGGAGGGAAGAAGGAAGGAGGGAAGGAAGGAACGCAAAGGAAGGAAGGAAGGCCGTCTCACCTTCGGGGTTGGCGCTGATGAAGACCCGCACGCTCCGACCGCTGGGCGCCAGGTGCAGCGGCAGAGCCGAGAGGTTGCCGGAGAAAGCCGCTTTCCGCAGCGCCGAATCCCGCGGAGCCGACGGCTTGCCGGCCGTGCCAGCCGGCCACATCCCTCCGCCTCCGCCGCCCCGGCTCGTCCTTTGGCAGAAGGGCGACGCCGCTCGTCCCCCCCCCCCACCCACCCCGCCAAACCCCTCCTCCGGCGGGCTTTCCCTACCCGGCGGCGGCGGCGGCTCCTCCTCGGCCTGTCTCGGCGCCCGGGTGGAGGGAATGGGGGGGGGGGAGGGGGAGTCTCGCCGAGAGAAAAACTTTCCGCCAACCGGGCTGCTTCTAGTCCTCAAGGAGGAATCCCGGCGCCCTCCGCTGCTTCGTCTTCCAAGAGCTTTGGCCCCGGCAACTTCGGCTCTTAAATGCAAGCGCTCCCCACCCCCCCCAAGCCCGCTTTACGCAACGCTCCGGCCGGCGAGGGAGGGAAGGAAGGAGGGGAGGGGAGACCACGCGGAGATCCCAGCCGGCCAAGCATCCGCGTCAAGGCACCGCTGGGCTCTTGGGAAGAAACCACACGCGGAGGGGGGAGGGGGAGAGGGGAGGAGGGGAAGGGGGGGTCTCGCGTGGGTCGCCTCCTCCACCGCCCCTTCCCGATAGGAGTTTTTTCTTTCTTTTTTTTTTGCTTCATAGGAAAGAAACTCAGCCGGCAGGCGGGGAGCAAAGCCGTTTGGTTCTCCTCGCCGAAGCCTTGGAGGAGGAGGAGGAGGAGGAGGAGGAGGAGGAGGAGAAGAAGTGGATGATGATGAGGAGGAGGAGGAGAAGAAGAAGAGGTGGAGGAGGAGGAGGAGAAGAAGAAGGAGAAGGAGAAGAAGAAGAAGAGGAGGAGGAGGAGGAAGGAGAAGAGGAAGGAGAAAGGGAAGGGAAGAGGAAGAGGAAGAAGGGGAAGGAGAAGGAGAAGGAGAAGGAGAGAAGGAGAAGAAGAAGAGGAGGAGGAGAGGAAGAAGCAGGAGGAGGAGAAGAAGAAGGATCAGAAGAGGAGGAGGAGGAGGAGGAGGAGGAAGGAGAAGAGGAAGGAGAAAGAAAGGGAAGGGAAGAGGAAGAGGAAGAAGGGGAAGGAGAAGGAGAGAAGGAGAAGAGGAGGAGGAGGAGAAGGAAAAGGAGAGAAGGAGAAGAAGAAGAGGAGGAGGAAGAAGAAGGAGAGGGGGAAGAGGAAGAAGGTGAAGGAGAGAAGAAGGAGAAGGAGAGAAGGAGAAGAGGAAGAGGAGGAGGAGGAGAAGAGAAGAAGGAGAAGAAGTAGCAGGAGGAGGAGGAGGAGGAGGATCAGGAGAAGGATCAGAAGAAGAAGAAGAGGAAGAGGAAGAAAAGAAGAAGAAGAGGAAGAGGAGGAGGAGGGTCGGAGGAGGAGATGGAAAGGAGGATTTATTCACCAAAGCGATCTCTCCACCCTCCCTTCCCCCCCCCCCACCCTCCGCCGCCCTTCCCCGAGGTGGGAGCAAAGGAAAGAAGGGGATCAAGCGAAGGACCTTCCCTCCAGGGGGCGGGCTTGCTGGCTGGAGCAGAGAGGCAGGACCGGGGAGGGGGGGTCATCCCTGGGGTCCCTGCGGGAGGGGGCGAGCCGGCACCCCAGGGGTCTTCAACCGGAGGGAGAAAGTCTCGAAACTGCTGCGGCTTCTTTAAGGCCAAGAGGACCAGAGCATCCGATCCGAGGTAAAGGGGGAAAAAAACGGGGCGCCTCCGCCTTGCCAGCATCTGGTGGGAGCGGAAAGTCACGCAATCCCAGCTCCTGGTTCTGTCGGTGTAAGCCTCAACGCTGGGAGGAGGGAGAGAAAGAGAGAGCAGGTCTCGAGGGGTTGGCTTCCCACAAGGAAAGGGAGACCTAGAATCCTGGGCCTGGAAGGGACCTTGGAGGTCTTCTAGTCCAACCCCCTCCCCAAGGTAGGAGTCTAGAACTGAACAGAGCAGAGCAGAGCAGAACAGAACAAACTAATGGAATGAAAAATAGGATAGGATAGCATAGGATAATGGAATGAAGAAGAATAGAATAGAATAGAATAGAATAGAACAGAACAGAACAGAACAGAACAGAACAGAACAGAACAGAACAGAACAATGGAATGAAGAATATAATAGAACAGAACAGAACAAAATTATGGAATGAAAAATAGAATAGAATAGAACAGAACAGAACAGAACAATGGAATGAAGAATAGGATAGGATAGAACAGAACAATGGAATGAAGAATATAATAGAATAGAACAGAACAGAACAGAACAATGGAATGAAGAATAGGATAGGATAGGATAGGATAGGATAGGATAGGATAGACTAGACTAGACTAGAGTAGAGTAGAGTAGAGTAGAGTAGAGTAGAGTAGAGTAGAATAGAGTAGAGTACAGTAGAGTAGAATACAGTAGAGTAGAGGTAGTAGAGTAGAGTAGAGCAGAGTAGAGTAGAGTAGAGTAGAGTAGAGTAGAGTAGAGTAGAAAGTAGAGAATAGAATAGAATAGAATAGAATTATTTATTGGACAAGTGTGATTGGTCACACAAGGAATTTTTCTCCGGTGCACAAGCTCTCAGTGTACATACAAACAACAAAGTGATATCATAAATCATAAAATAGATCATTAGATACCATCATAAATCATAAGGTACAAACAACTATTGATAAATCATAATATACCAATAGGGGATGGTAGTAGGAAAGATGAGAGGTGAAAAAGAAGAGAAGAGAAGATACCATCCCAGACAAATGAATATCCAATCTTTTGAGTGGGTTGATCTTGGTTAGTCTTGGTCAGGAGACCACCTGCTTAACTGGACAGGTCTAGAATTGAGCACAACCTAGAAGAGTTATGTGGGGGAAAGGGGAAAATACAACCCAAATATCTTTTTAGATGATAGAATAACAAGAGTTGGAAGGGTCCTTGGAGGTCATCTACTCCAACCCCCTACTCGAGCAGGAGATCCTATACCATTTCAGAGAGACGACTGTTCAATCTCTTGTTCAAAGCCTCCAGTGATGAAGCACCCACAGCTTCTGAAGGCAAGCTGTTCTACTGGTTAATTGTTCTCCTTACAGAAGAAGAAAAACTAGAAGAACCTAGAACTCCTTAGTTCTAGGTTGGCTTTCTCCTTGATAGGTTTTCATCCATTGCTCCTGGTCCTGTCTTCTGGTGCTTTGGAGAATAGCTTGACCTCCTCTTTGTGGTAGCTCCTTAGATGTTGGAAGACTGTTATCATTCACTCCTCAGTCACTTTTTATTAAACTGGACATACCCAGTTCCTGCAACCGTTCTTCATATATTTTAGCCTCCGGTCCCCTCAGCATCTCGGTTGCTCTTCTCTGCATTCTTTCTAGAGTCTCAACATCTTTTTTACAGCGTGGCGACCAAAAATGGATGCAATATTCCAAGAGTGGTTTTACCAAAGCATTATAGCGTGTTATTACCACTTCACGTGACCGTCCACACATGTTAAAGCTGCCCAGGTTAAGAAACACTGCTCTCATTTGCCTAATTCTTCCTTTTTCCAAAATAAACCTATCTACATTTTAGCGAAAAACAGATTCCACGAATATCTCTCTACTCCAGGGATGGGCAACGCTGGCGACTCTACGACCTGCGGACTTCAACTCCCAGAATTCCCGAGGCAGCCATGTCCGCCTGTATTAACATTGCTGGGTTTAGAAACATTGCACTAGTTCAAATAAAAATGGTTGGAAAATTAGACTTGGCTCATAGCTTCCTTAAAGGTAAAGGTTCAGGGGTGAAATCCAGCAGGTTCTGACAGGTTCTGGAGAACTGGTAGCGGAAATTTTGAGCAGTTCAGAGAACCGGGAAATACCACCTCTGACTGGCCCCAGAGTGGAGTAGGAATAGAGATTTTGCAATATCCTTCCCCCAGGAGTGGGGAGGGAATGGGGATTTTGCAAAATCCTTCCCCTGGAGTGGGGTGGGAATGGAGTTTTTGCAGTATCCTTCCCCTGCCATGCCCACCAAGCCATGCCCACCAAGCCACACCATGCCCACCAAGCCACGCCCACAGAACCGGTAGTAAAAAATTTTTGATTTCACCACTGTAAAGGTTCCCCTCGCACATGTGTGCTAGTCGTTCCCGACTCTAGGGGGCGGTGCTCATCTCCGTTTCAAAGCCAAAGAGCCAGCGTTGTCCGAAGACGTCTCCGTGGTCATGTGGCCGGCATGACTCAATGCCAAAGGCGCATGGAACGCTCTTCCCTTCCCACCAAAGGCGGTCCCTATTTTTCTACTTGCATTTTTTTTTACGTGCTTTCAAAATCCTAGGTTGGCAGAAGGTGGAGCTTCTCCAGCTCCGTAACGGGAGCTCACCCCGTTACGCGGCACTAGGGATTCGAACTGCTGAACTGCCGACCTTTCAATTAACAAGATCAGCATTTTAGCTTCCTTACACATACATAAAAAAGTAAAAAAAAAATGCATGTATGGCAGGTTCAAGAATTCTGGGATTTGAAGTCCAAAACTTGTAAAGAGGCCATAGTTGTTCACCCTAGTTTTTACACGTAAAATTATATTTCAGAGTGAAAGAAGCTTGGATAAGTGTCCTCCTATATACAAACTGCCTATGTTTTGAAGGGAATACTTGTTCTTTTCTGCCATACAAGTTGCAGGAACAGGAATAAAACAAACCCATCTGTTCTCTATCTATTTTATCTCTATACCCTTATTTCTATTTCCTTTCTAACCAATCATAAAAATTTTCCCATGCCTTGAAATACATCGACTCCTCTTTATCTTTTATTCTCAGTGTTAATCTATTCATTTCTGCACATTCTAATTAGAAAAATAGATACCCAGATGATGCCAAGTAAAAGGAGAAAGGGGAGGGGGGGTAAAAAGGGGGAAAAGTGAGATATTATAAAAATGTACACAAATGATGACATAAAAATAAATATCAACTGAATAAGAAATTGAAATGAAAATAAAGATAATTAGAAAATCGGGACTCCTCGAATACCACTTTAGATTGAACTGAAAAGGGAAACAACGAGAGAGAGGGGAAGGAGTAGAGAGAGAGGAAGGGAGAAGAGAGGAGAGGAGAAAGAAAGGGAAAAGGAGAGAAAGAAAAGGGAGGGGGAAAGAGGAG